TCTCTTCTTCTCCTCTCTCTCTCTCTCTCTCTCTCTCTCTCTTTCTTCTTGACTATCGTCGGTAACTCGTAAGTGCAGTGCTTTCCCACGAATTCGATCCGACTGGAAAATTAATGCGAGTGCTGAAAACGCTCGTTTCGCGCGGCTATTCATTGGTGCTTTCCAACGAGGAGAGATTTCGATACCCGCGAACGATACAATGATCGAAAAGCAACCGCGACGCTCGAGAGAGAAACGTCTGCTCGCAATGTTCTCCCTTCGATGTAAACAACTTTATTTTATTTTATTCCATCTATTTTTCTGGAGGATCGTCAAATATTCGGTCGGAGTTTCCGTCGCGGGCACGCTTTCTTGCGAAACCTAGATTCGCGCGCTCGCGCGCGAACTTCGTTTCGCCGATTCGTGCTTCGCGCGAACGTGGCTCATTAATATTCATTGTTATTTGAAGCTCGGCAAACGGAGAAACGAATTAGATTGCCTTCGCCTCGAGAGCGACCGGCCGGGAAACGCTTCCGAAAAGGAATATCCTTCCCGATCGTCGCGAACTTCGTGCATCGAAATCGAATTCCGCGCGGCCATCTGGATACAAGAGTTCCGGAAACTTAACCGTGAAGAGCGCGACACAGGAGAGAGAGTTTCGAAATAATACATATTATATCGGAAATGCAAGCCGGCTGCGGATGCCGTAGACGACCGCGGAAGACACGCGGGGTGCACCATGACGGCGAGAAAACGAGGAACCGCCCCCGATCGCCAGCCGGGGGAGGAAACGCGCTGGAGAACGCGAGACGCAACGTTGCTTTACATTTCTTTCGCTCGACGAGTTTTCCCGCAGGATATTAGACGCTATCTTGTTTCCAGCCGCTCGCGGAGTAAAATAAGAGGGTAATACTCGATTATTCTGGTTTACGGCTTGATTTCCTATTTATAACTACTGAAATAAAAGTATAGCGAGAGAGTCGGTGTATTTTTTTGAGGGATGATGGTTCCACGAAGGAAAATTTGTTAAGTAACATCTCCACGGAATCATCTTCGTTGAAGAAGCCGCGAAGTTATTAAGCAATTAGTCTCCGTGATAGGAACATCTGTCAATTAATTCGGAGATGATTTATTTCTGGAGGAGGAAGAAGTTTAAAAGCGCAAATTGGAAATCGCTTTGTTAAAATTGACTGCGCTTTTTTGGTATCGCATGAATATTATTAGTGGCGGAGATTATTATATTCCGACGGTACATTTCGTTTGTTTGCAAAACCGCAACATGATACGCGCGGGGGTTTTCATCGCGATATCACGTCGGCGTGTTTTCCGAGCGACCATTTGCGTGATGCGACTAGTTTCGCGCGCGATTCTCTCCCCGCATTTTCATTTCGATCACCGGATTTTTTTTCGTGAATCCGGCGTGAGGCGCGATCGATCGGGCGTGATTTTTTACCGCGGATTTGCGAGACGCGTCGCACCGGCGGCACCCCATAAATTCGGCAGTGCGTACAGATAACGGGCAAATCCGCAAACAATGTTGCAAAGCCAATAAACTCGCGCAAAGCCATCCGAGGCCGTTTTCAGGAAGGAATTTATCGGTTTTGCGCGAATTACCCCAGGTGTCCCTCATTCTTCTCCCTCTCCGGGAATTTGCGTTTAACGCAAGAGAGTGCGTCACGCGACGATGCGTCTCTTTTCCGCTTCGCCAGATATTTCGCGCGAACATTGCCGATGGACGGTACCGCAATAACGATAAGTTCAATATAACAAATCGTGCGCGTAGACGCGAGGATGAGTGACGAGCGATGAACGATCGCACGTCTCCCTGTTGATTTTCCCGGCGCATCGCGATTACCGGTATTTGCCGGTTCTTATTCGATGTAATTGAGTTCTCGCGTGCGCTAACGAGACGCTTTGGGGCCGCGCGAAAAACGCTCTGTGACACGTATGATTGATAATGGGGATAACGACGTGTTGTAACGCGCGACTTTATTCAAAGAACGCCGGTGCGAAAAGAACACTGATAAGTCGGCCGAAAAATCCGAGATGGAAGCGAGATTAATAGAAAATAGCACGCACTCGACCGTGCCGTAATTAATATTTATTATTAACGTATAAACGGCGCCTCGCGAATAAAATAGGAGGGGAGATTGCAGCGATCTCCGTTTTGTCGCTAGCGGAGACATTCTCAAAAATAAAAGCGAGTGCGAATGCGAAAGAGAAATACGAAAGGAGGAAATGGGTGGAAATGCAGGAGCCGGCGGAAAATTGCCGAGAGCTTTTTGTTATTCCGACGAAAAGTTCCGCCATGCTGATTGGATGATAATGAGCCTCGAAAAGTGCGAAAACGAACCGGCGTACCGGTCGACTTCGAGCAAAGTTTAAGAGCGGAACAGCTCCGGCGCGTTGTTATGACGTCAGGCGTCTCCTCCGGTAGAACTTTTTATCTTCCAATCCACTTAATCCGAGGAAGCCGAGTTTTCCTTATCGCGCCCGCCCAGGTGAGTTCGCTTTCGTTCGTCCCGCTGTCGCTCGAGGGGAACTCGGCTTCTCGCAAAAATACGCAATTATCGTTACATCGTATTGTCGAGAAAACGGCAGAAATCCATTCCGCAGACTGTCGAACCTCTCCGCAATTTCATTCGAGCCGTGCGTTTCCCGGTATACAGGGTGACAGCGAAATTAGCGTCTCGCCGAACGACACGAGCGCAGAAAAAAAAATTAGTCTTAAATCGAGAAAAATATTTTTATACATAAGCAAGAAATATTATGATCTTTTTAAAAATTTATTAGTGTTGATTCGATTGAATTTGTACTGAGTATTATTTTCGTATTTAAAAGCAAAAATCTTCCATGTGAAAATTATAATATTTTTGCTTAGTTATGAGAATAATGATACTAAAATTTTTGTAAGATTATAATATTCTTGCTTATATATGAGAGAACATGTAGTCTTGATTTAAGAATTTTGTTTCTGTGCGGAAAGGACCTCATGACTCGTTTTTCCGTAATTCCCGAAAGGTATAGAATTGCGAAATAAAAATTCATCCCCTCCCCCCCCCCGTCGAGCGGCGACGCGTCAAATTCCGCCGTTTAAATTTTATCGGTGACTTTCCGGTCACCTCGTATACCGTGTATCGCGGCAAGAATAGAAATCTCTTTGGCGTTCGATTACTAAAGCTATTGGCGGGGCGAGATTTATTGACGCTATCGATTGCCGAATGCCTGGCGCGGCGCACGTTAGTGTTGGAAATGTTAGCTCGCATTCGTTTCGCCCTCGTAATACGTATACGTTCAACATCGAAAAACGCATGAAAGCGGACAGTGCGAATGGATGCAGATAGAGAGTCTACGAACAGTTCACGACAAAAAAAAAAAAAAAAAGAAGAAGAAAGAAAAAGAAGGAGAGAACACTGAGCTGTATGAATCTGTAATTACCCCGAGGTGCGGCTTCCCGCCAAATGGTTTCTTTGGAAAAACAAAAAAGAAAGGCTAAGTTAATCAATGTGTTAATATATCCTCCATATGATTACATCTATGTACATAGCGAGCTTCCGGCGGAAAAAATTTCTTTTAGAGCAACGTCTATTATCTACGTTAAAAATTATTCTCAAGCAAGATTGATGTGATATGAGATGAATTTTACATTATTTTATCATAATCATGTGTATTAAATAAATAAATAAAATTCATAAATATGACTGAAGGTGAGCAAGGTTAATTTCAAATACAACACATTTCGAATCTGAAACAATCTGAATCTTACATTTGTATTATGGCGTCGTGTTAATTTTTGACGCAGCAAAGAGAAAGGCAGACTTACCTGGCTCTTATCTTTGATCTTGTCAAGAGTTAGTCTCTCCTTGACATAGTGAAGCTTGAGGATTTCCTTCATGCGATTCTTGTCCTGCAGCATCTGCTTCACGCCTGGTTCCTCCAGCGCGTCGTTGCTGGGCGCGAAGAGGGTAACGTCATTCAGATGACTGATGGAGCTCATGATCTCGTCCCCGAAATCACGGATGGTCTCGTAAAACTTATACACCGGTCCATCCTCCTTTTCCTACACGGAGAGAAGAGATTTCTGTCGATCGGTTACGCATTGCTCGCCGCGCCTCGTTTCTACGAGGAGCCGTGTCGAGAAAAGGAAATGAGATGCAAATGAGAAAAGCAAGAGAGAAAGAGAAGGGGGGGAAAAAAGGAGGAACATAAAATTATTTATAAAAGAGTCGGTGGCGTCCAACTTTGGCTTGAAGTCATCAACGTTCCATTACGTGTTAATCAAACAAAAGAGGAAAGGCACGCTGTCTCGCAGATTAAGTCGTAACGGAATTTTACATAAACCGCACCGAGTCTTTGGGCGTTTACAAAAAACATGGAAAGTAAAAAAAATAAGAAAAGTTGGGAAAGACCCGGGGAGAAATCGAACAGTAAGAGAACGTCGGTTGCGGCGTGAAGTTCACGAAGCTCTCTTTTCGTCGCGTTCTCGGATTCTTCATAAAAATCGATTTTTACAATTTGATCGTCCACTATTTTTTGAAATTTACAGTTTAAATCCAGTTAGAATCTCCATATAAACAAAAGTTTATCGGAACTACTTTGTGCGATCGTGAATAATGTTCAACGGAAAATAAGGAGGTGTAAAAGGCCCATAATTTGGAAAAATAAAATCTTTTGTAGAAGGCGACGATTGCGCTGACAGGACTCTAAAAGATCCTCGAGGGATCGCTTAAAATGAAAAATGTACTTGAAATTCAGAGGGTTAGTTGTGAGACAAGAACCGCCGCAATTAGACCAACGTAACGAACTTGAAGCTCCGTGCAACTCGCGCCGCGAGCAAGAGGTGGAATGAATTACTTATGGGGAAAACACAAGGTGTAAGGGAAAAGAAAGCGTGACGGAAACGTGACCGTTAGTGGTTCACGGAAGCGGTAACATTACGTGACGCACATAATTTACGTTTTTTGGCCCGGAGTGCCGATTGCGCTTCCTGTATGGATAAAAGTTACACGATACAAAATTTTGAAAATTCTTGATCAAATTTTGGAAATTAAATTTTGCCAAAGAAGATAATAAAAATAATCACGAAGATTAAAGAAAAGAAACACAATAAATTTTGTCTCGATACCATCAAATTAACAAAGAAATCTTACTTAAATATGAAGTTAGTTCGTACCACGAGATTTTCCGATAATATCGTAAAAGAAGCTGAAGATATCTCGCGATATGACGTAAAGTGTGATATGTCAATAGCAGAATCATTGATAAAGATGCACACCGAGATACCAGTTTTATAAGAATTAATAGGATATTTCTTTTTCAGAAATATCAAAGTGACATCGCATCGTATTTTGAAAGAGATATTA